TTTGCCCGTATAGCTGATATATGGAGTCTGTGTCATAGGCTTGCACTGCTTTGCACTTTGTCTTAAGCAATTTTAAACATTAACACATGTGCCAGCAGCCAAACAGAGGCAGGCCTAAGGCTGATAATGAATTGCAGAGTTGTTCACCTATTGGTCATCCCTTTAAATCAGCAGTGGCTTAACAGAAATCTAACAGATGTTTCTAGAAAATGGAGTTTTTGGGAGCCCTTACATAGAGTCCAATATTTTGCTTCCATACAACAAATTCACAACTGTGCTGGCTGTTGGATTGTAAATTACTATGGTTCTATATTGTGCTTATGTGTATGTATGTATCTCTTCATTGCTGAAATTGATGGGCTCTCTGCAGCAAGAATCACACCACTTCTGATATAAACTTGTTTAACTACACAGCAACATTAGACACAGATGCGGTGCAGTAAATACAAGTATTAATTGAGGCTGATGCTTTAGTACATTTCATTCTGCTTTCTATTAAAAACAAAACAAAATTCCTACCTTTTGGCCTGCCAGCACTGTCATGTGGTGCTCTAATGAAAACTGCCAAACGTTGTAGTGGAAGTGCTGCTGCTTTTGCACATCTGCCTCCAGTGAGACACTTATATGCACAACAGTTTTATTTTTTTCTGAACTTGAAGATATTTTTATGAACTAAAACAAACATCCAAGTAGATATTTTTGGAGGTCTTGTCCAGAATAATGGTCAACCTTTCTTTCCTCCTTGTTCTTCTCAGCAGCCTCTTAACCAAAAAAACACCCCCACTAATTCTTCCATCTTAAGCTTAGATTATTTTTAGATTATTTTTTTAAAGAAACTATGGCTCTGGTTTCATTATATTCTGAGAAGCTGAACGCCAAAATACACTTAAATGACTGAGAGTTTTGAGACCTGGAGTGTAGCTTGCATGCACTAAGCGTGTGCTGCCAGCGGTGCAACTTCAGTGAGTTAACACGTGAGCCAGAACTGTTTTCATTTCAAAATGTGTAGAGCCCATTTGTGTAAGCAGTAAGAGTTGTGGGTATCAGGCTCTCCTTAATCTGATCTTATTCTTAGAATAACATTCAGGTTGGCAGATGATAGATTGGCGGTTTTATCGCTGTACTGCAAAGCAAGAAGCACATTTGGGTCTGTAACTCGGGAACTTTTCCAATCGGCTACGTCGGGGCTGTGATCTGCTTTGGTTTCTCACTTACCTACCTTATGTTTTGGTGGATTTACCACTTGCAGTGCGTGAGAATTTTTCAAACCAGAAAAATCTGTCAATTTATAGGAAAAAAAATGGTTATTGCTTCTATGATTATGGTTAAACATTAGTTAGAACTTGCTTTGTCAAACGCATTTGGGCTGACCGATTTGCATTCACAAAAGTGATTTCTTGTCACTTTACTGTTCTTGTAATGGAGAGTTTTGAATTGTTCCATTGTAAAAGCTCAGCTACATTAGCAAAGCATGGTGTTAACTGTCTTTTCACTATAAAACTCAGGTAATGCAGTCTTTTTTGTGTGCCTTTCAGTATTTTAAATTCTCTCTTTGCTTCGAATATTTTCCCTGCGGGTGTTAAACTTTTACCAAAAACTAATAACTAGAAGCTAATTTGAAACATTAGGGGTTAGCTGATAATGGCAACAAACATAATCTATAGACACCAGACAAGCAATTATCTAAAGAGCAGCAGTGAAGTTAACACTCGGTTGCTGAGTGGCAGCTGTGAATTCAACAAGTATCTTGTGCATTGTGGAAAACTGTAAGCATCAACAGCTGTTGGCAGATTCATGAAAATGGTACTCTTGGGTATACCTGGTTTCCCTTTTTGAAGATTTTCCTGATTTTTTAAAAAGATTCTTAAAGGTGTTTTTTTTTTTTTTTTTAGATAATTACCACTTTTGTCTCATCATTTTATCATCATCAGTTATTCTAAATGAGAACTTTAGTCTCTCTAAAATGTGTATCATGCCCTTCTTCTACTTGTCAGTGCTTTTCTACTTTTTCACTTTTTTATTTGTTTAACTCTGTCATGACTGCAGAGCACAGTTCAATGTGTTAGAGCGATTTGACCTCTATTTATAATCTATGTGAAGTAACCTTCACATAGATTATAAAACCTGAGTCAACAGTGCCAGCACACCCATAAGACAATTATCTTGGGTTGGAGATAAATTAAATAGAAGCAAAATGGGCATTTCACAAGGACAGGCTGTATGTGCTAGAGACCTTTTCATGCTAAGGTATGTCAGCTGGGTCATAATTGGCTCTAATTAGTGCACTCTATTAGCTATAAAAAGTCATTACCCTCCAGCTCCATAACACTTGAAGATGTGAAATTTCTTTGAAAATATCCAAGAAGGTGCTTCCAGTCTAGCCTTTATGGCTGAAAATTCAGTGATCAGTTTAAGGAAGGGGCAACTGCATCAGCAGGAATGAGGAATATTGATCGGTTGGGTGAGAGCTCTTCAGAGGTAACTGGTCAAACCAGACTTCACGGTAGTGATTTCATATTATACGTATGTGTTGCAACAGAAAATGCCATAAAACTAGGCTTTCAACAATATGTTTGAAAAATAATGCAATTTTAAGAAGTTATAATTCATGTTCCAAATCAACTTGAATATACTTCAGGTAGCCACTCAATGCTGTTTGTACTGTCTTCTGATTTCACTTTTTGACACTGGAGTTCAGAAGTCCAAGTGTGATCAGCTGTGAGTTCCAATGCATAAACATCTTAATTGTGTTGTGTGTGTTTATAGAGTGTTTTCATCTCTTTCAAGGATGTAATGGAGCTCTCTGGGGCAGAGCTGTGTGGAGGTATGAAAAATATATTACAGTGGCAGCTGCTTACTTGTAATTACTATAAGCAGAATAGTAGTCGTACCTGTAACTGAAACCATTTGATCATTTTTATTATCAAGATTTATTTTCAGGTGCTCGTAAGTTTCCTAGCTTGTAGCATACAACTTCTAACAAGAAACATTTCTGAAAATAAGACTGGCAACAATATGGGCAAAACAGCTCACTTCAGAACAAATTATAAGATCATTCTAGTTGCATGTACTTCTTAGAACACATTGATAATAAACATGATGACCAAATTAGGTGATTTTTTTCCTAATATGACAAAGGTCATTATGAATGACCTTCTACAAGGTAGCTTCCTTGAATCTGCAATGCAATAAGGATGCAAGTCAATTCCAGCACAAGATAAATGCAGAAACTAATCCCTCCTTTGATCTGCACTTAGAAATCAGCAATACAACCATAATGACAACATGACAACTTAAGTGTGTGTTTTTTTTTTTTTTTTTTTAAATGTACTCTGTGTTCATTTTTTTTGCAGTGTTCTACTTACCACCTGTGAGTAGCCTGGCCCCTCTATAATAGGGAATGTGCAGTCATATGTGTATTCAAGTAGTTCTTTGGTCAGCAATGTGGAGTTAAAAGGAATTAAACTGGTTCTTTATGGAAGGAGTGGAGTGGATTTTGACTGGTAGAGCTCAGCTGACACTAAGATTGTATTTCATTTATGGTGTGCAGAGGGAAACTACCCTGTTTCACTTTTTGTTACCTGCTGTATCTTTTCCTTGTGTGTTTTTTTTGTTTTGTTTTGTTTTTTTTTGGTGTAAGGTAGAATGAGGGAGTACCATAAGGCCAGGCAGATCAAGAGCCACTGACTTAAGGAGGTAGGAGTAATGCAAATTTGTGGATAAAATATAAATGTGTGTAAAGTTCGGTCACAAGTTAGGAAGGCAGCTGGTGGTTGCTTAATATTGGGCTCACTAGCCCCAGGCTGTGTCTGCATCTGTTTCATCTCTTCAACCCCAGAGTGTTTGGAGTGATTCAAGCAAAGAGAGAAGCAGAACAGAGCACTTATGTCTGGTGATGGACTCCTGGCAAACCTCGAGATACCTCTTCACATATGCACTAAGGAGGAGGATAGCATTTCAAATAGCACTGACACGTTGCTTTTGAATAACTTAAGTTTTTGTCTACAGATGGGAGGAATGTAATTCACATTGCCATCAATACTAAATTAGTGTTATCTACACTTGTCTATATTGTGTTCTTACAAGGTAATTAGGAAGTTGCATAATTTTATTTTTGAGGAGTATGGGGTATGAAAGACTTTATTTAATAGCAAATGTTGTTTGTTTAACCTACTGCCTTCTTAGCAGTTGTGCTGCCACTGGCTAGACTATGCTTCCTTACATAGACAGGAACAGAGATGATCACTGATTTTATTTTACTCCTTCATCTATGGCACAAAAATGATGAGTCGTAGGCAGAGAGGGTATGTTCCTTGACATATCCATGATGGCCAGTTGTTAAATTGGAAGAGGTTACATCAGAGCTCTGAGATCTATGTTTTTTTTGGTGCATTTTCAAAAAGGATGCCCAAAATCACACGTAGAAGAACATTAAGATTTCAACTTGAAGAATTTGGGTAGTGAGTGTCTATCAGAAGATCCTTGTTCTAATCCCTTCGTATATATGTGCAATGATTTGTGTTACTGGGGTGTGATCACACTTCATTTTGCACAATCACTGCTGATGTAGAGCATAGAACACATGACAAATCGAGTGGGGGATTTCAAGAATCTTGTGCACCATTAGGCAGCATGTAGAGGGGCTGGATTGTGTTCCCTTTGCTGACCCAGATTTGGGTTGGAATGTCAAAGGGCTCTCAGGAAGTGTGCTAAAGCTGACTAAATGTTTGCATAAATAAGCATATTTTTAGTGCCACAACTTTTTAGTAACTGACTCTGCAGTAATGTTCATACATACAAATATGTAGTACTTGCTAGATTGCTACTTCATGGCAGATTTTGCACTCGAAATATGGGACCAATTTCTGTTGAAGAAAACTGCAAAGAAAATTATTAAAAGCATTTGAGGGTAGGTCCACAAGATCAATATAATTTCCCAGCACAAATTTTGCTGTATTTAATGTTGGTTTGTTTTCCATTTTCTGTTTTTTGTTTTACAGCGTTATGTGGGAACCAATGGGAGACGGTAAAAGAATTATTTCACTGGCTGATAATAACATATTATTGTGGGATTTGCAAGAAAGTTCAGCCAAAGCTGTGGTAAGAAAAAATATTAACAAATGATTATGTACTTAAATATATTATAAATCATAACAATGTGAAGTTTGTTAGTCTTTTAGCTACCCTTTCCTTAAAGACTCTTAAAAATATTGTTCTTGATGGGATGCGTTGACTTGAACATGGGTGGGAGAAATGAGAGCCATATTGAATGTGGGTATTTCAAAGAAGGTAACTTGGTTGGCAGTTATGTATTTTCCTTCCTCATAGTTATCCTGTGGATTCTAGAGCAAACAATCTAAAGTAAAGCAATGACACCTTGATCAGTATGGGCTAAGGAAAACCCTAGATCAGTGAAGTAGAAGCTTATCTAACTTAGGTAATGATTAACGGTCTATAAAATATTACTGGCTTGTATAAAAAGTATTATTCTCTGTACTAGTATATTAAACTGTGTTGGTTTCCCACCCCTCTACTTAAAAGCCCTTGGTGTATGCATAAAACCAAGTTGTCTGCTTGCTGTGCACTGCGTTGAATGCTCAGTATTAATTTACTACCTTAAGGTATATTTAGATAACTTAATTTGTTAATAAATTAATCTTCTGTGTTATTCAGTATTATAAGTAATAGGGTGCTGTTGATACGGATTTCAGTCTGATTATGTGGCCTTTTATAGATAATCAACAAAAGTCTGTTCATTTAAGTACACTGGTGTGGATTGTATGCAGAAATCCTTGAATGGTTGTGCACAGAATCCTTGCTTTGTGCTTGGCCTTAGAAGCAGAGACTGGTTGTATCATTGTTGTTATTTGGCTGAATTCTTGAATTAACTCTTAACTTTCACTTGTTCAGTTGTAGTTTCTTAGGTGTTTTGGGATCAGATTTTTCAACTAGCAGTTTCCTGGAGGCAAAACACTGTTTCTCTGAACTTTCTCATGTGGTTCCATCTGACTGTGCCTAAACAGATGAGGCCTGAAGTTGTTACTAGTTTGTTCAGTGTCAATGTTGAGGTACAAACAAAGACCTTCTGACTAAACTGAAACAAAAAGGAAGCATATAAGGGGTCAGGTGCCCAGGGGGAGTATAGAGATGTCACCAAGCACTCAGGGATCGGATTAGGAAAGCCACGACTATCTGGAAGGGAATCTGGTGAGGGTCATGGAGGGCAACAAGGAAAGGCTTCAAACATGTGGGCCTGTTGCTGAGTGGAACACAGGCCCTGGTGTCAAAGGACACGAAGAGGCTTTGGTACCTCCATGCCTCTTCACTACTGTATTTCCTGGTAAAAGTGGCCTTCAGGAAAGCCCTGAGACCAGCAGGAAGGCTTGTCCTTGGTGAAAGAGGATCAAGCCATCGTGCCGGAGGAAGTTTACTGAAGACTGGAAGAGAACAAATGTCAGCCTTGCCTTTTGGAAGGGCAAGTAGGAGGGTCCATGGCACGAAACCTTACCTTGGTCCCTGGGAAGGCAATGGAACAACTAATTCTGGGTACTGGTAATAGACATGTGAAGAAGAACAGGAAGGTAATTGAGGCTCATCAGCATGGATTTACAAAGGACAAACAATTCCTAACTAATCTAATGAGATGAATGGTTTGGTGAGTGAGGAGCAGTGGATGCCGTTTGTCTCAGCTGAATTAAGACTTTCGATATGGATTCCATGCATCCTTATAGAGAAATTTGAAATATAGTATAGATAAAGTCAGTTTTCACTAACTCCTTAAATGCTAGGCTCAGATGGTTGTAATCAGAGGCACAAAGTCCAGCTGGAAGCCAGATTTTCTGGATCTTCTAATAAATGACATATTCTTTATTCTGTGTTATGTTATTTTGCTTGAGACTTATTTACAAAAATCTGCCATTTTCAGGTAAATATCTTTTATTGTTCCTTCCCTCAAAATTTAGCTCCTTATTTTGTCGCACAAATATTTGTGAATAAAATTCAGAAGTTAAGAAGTATTCGTTAAGTTGTGCAACAATGATCTATCTTCCCATTGGAAGAACCCATTTCAACAGCTTTTTTTTTTTTTTTTTTTTTTTTTTTTTTTGAGACGTATCCCTTATAGTTAATACTGGTATTAATCAGATGAGATAAAGCCAACTATAATATTATATGTCCTCTCATGAAGGAGTTCTCAAACTTTGGCATAGTTCTAGGGAAAAATCTTGAAATATATGTACCTTGAAAATTCTGCATTCCAAAATTTCAGCCTGTGTGCATTGATAAAAATGGCAATTTGTAATTGGATAATCCAGAAATACATGATAGGAGTTATAGGAGTCTTTGCTCTCATGTCAGTGCTTTTACCACTTGACTGTACTACTCATTCTGGTCCCTGACAAAGTTTAGTAATTCTACCCTTCTTTTGCTTCATGACATTCAGCTCTAACTATGTAGCTTATGAATGTAAGAATGATTTTGCTGGTCTGAAGCTACGGTCCATGCAGACATTCCATTTAAAACAGTGGCCATTGTAGACTCCAAAGGAAGTGTTCAAAGAAAATATATTGGATACTTTCCAATAGTGTGTTTTAAGGATTCTGTCTATCCTTTCCTCCTTCCAATTTAGTCCTTACGAGGGAAAAATAGGAAGCCTACAAGGTAGCATCTCAGTTCTTACCGATGTTTTATTGTGTATTATTAGAATGTGTTGAACTAATTGATGATTTCATATGAATATGTATAAAACAATCCTTCAAAGCTGGGATAGATTTTAATATTTCAGTTATTTTGCTTTTGTAAAAACCTTTCCTTCCTTGAGGATGACAACTGTGTACAGTTCTGTCCTGAGCACATGACATTTACTTTGATTTTCTCAGAACCTTTTCTTTTGCTTTTAAATACTTGTCTCCATGCAGTTCTGATGTATTAGGAGCCTATGCTTTTTATTGTTCCTGTGTCAACAGCTTTAGGCACGGATCCACCAAAGCACTTATGCACAGTGTCAAATCCAGCTGTAATCTGTTAACCATTTTATACTGCGCAAGTTTCATTTTATCCAGGCCCTTTTTTCGAAAATCGGAGTCCATGCACAATGCAAGAGTGTTGCCTAAGAATAGGCAATAGATCACTTGTATTTATTATCTTTTTTCATCATATAAATCACTTGCTGTGTTTGTTGTTGTTTTTTAAATATATAAATTGTGATATTAACAGTGAGTCCCTTACAGATGTGTGTCCTTGTTTTCTGGACAGCACAAGGCCAAACCCTCATGTGAGATTAATGCCTAGGCTTCTGTCATGTTTTACTTGCCTCCTGTCAACTCTTCTAAAAGAAGTAGAAGGAAGAGTTCAAGCTAAAGAAGAAAGCTCAGCTACATCTTTTTATATTCAGGCATAAATTAAAGCTATGGCTACCTTTTGTTTTTCTTTGAGCTTGCATTTATGTTTCTAAATTACCAGCTTCATTTCCTATAAATTCCTTTCTTGTTTCTCTGTAAGTTTAAGTTACCTTTTACCTTCTGTCCATAAAGATTTCCTCTTATGTAAGATATTTTCTTCTACTTTAAATGTCTTTTTATACGATGCAGGTCCTTTCTGGGTGTAATTTTGGGATATGGCTTTATTTAATTTAAAAAAAAAAAAAAAAAAGTCTCATGAATTGACTGGGAACTTGGCTGTAGGCCTATCTGGCCCTCCGTATGAGAAGGGATACCATGCAATCCTACAAGTGCTCAAGGATTGCAGGGGAAGAGCAGAATGACTTGGCAAATGCTACATGTGTCCTGTTCTTCTGTGTGTTTTTTTTTTTTTTTTTAAATAAAGTGCAAGATATTTGTTATGGTCTCACTGTTCTATCTTTTATCTGAAGAGAATCAACTTTTTTGAAATAGTTTGCTTGATTAAAAGTTAAAATAGAGAGACACTTCTTAAAGTCTACAATGCTGGAGAAAATATCTCCTGTTTACAAAGGTGTTTTCCCTAAGTTATGTTTTGGGTGTGATATTCTGTCTCCAAAAACAGATTTTGCAAGATACTCGTTGTACTCTTTTCCTGACAGTATTAAGATTTGCTTCCTCCCCTACACACCTTTATCTGAGCTTTGCTTGGCCAAGGTTACCAACTAAAGAAACTTAAGTCTGTTTTTTGAGATGATCCATTCAAGTTCTGCATGTTCTTCTGTGCCTGAAATGTAGCGTGTGTCAAAAACCAGAACGGTGCAGCTTGTTTTATTATATTGAATCTGGGAGATGTGGCCTACAAAATATTTCTCGTCATATTAATAACCTGCACGTTGTAGAAAGGTTTTCAGACACTATTTGTACTTGAGAGAGAGTGTTGCTAGAGGAGTAGGTTTAGTCACAGTGTTGTATCATTCACTGAGATACGGCCTTGCTTTGCAGGCACTCTCATATTTTTAAAAAGTGGACTCTTCAGAAAAGTCTTGGAAAACTTCTCATCTTTGGCAGCATAGACATCAGTGATGGAAGAGCTGTTAAGTGAAAAAGATATAGTGGAATTTAACAATAATTTAGCAAGATAAAGAAACAGGCATGGGAGTTATGTACAAATATATTTAAGCAGAGTCTTTAGCTTATTGTCAGCATATTCTTCTGTTTTTAGTTAAATTTTATGCAAGTGTTACGTATGTTTAGCCCTTGCTTCATCTATCAAAGTTGAGTATTTCTGCCGTGAGTACGGAGTGTTTTCTTAACTTACCAATATGGTTATTTAATAGAATACTTTCCGATGTGGGAAGAATAGGGAAGAGGAGACAAGCGATCCAGAGAGAACCCGTGCAGTAATCCGCTTGGGTGCAAAATGCATCTCAATGAAACATTTGAAATATGAAATGAAACATTTGAAATGTGAACTATGCAATAACTTATTTTTTTTGTGAGATGACCAAGTATGTCTGTCATCCGCCTTGCCCCTTGGAAGGTGTATAAACTTTAGTTCCATTTAAAAGGGAAATGTTTGAGTTTTTCCCCCCACCCCCCACTCCCAGTATGAAATGTTAGATTTCAGTAACCAACATTTCAATAACTAACCGTGCCTGCGGTTTGTTTTTTTTCCTCTCTCCATGCTCACATGGACTTGGAGGGCAACTTGCCTTCCACCTTCAAGCCAATTCATTCATAACTCCTTTCTGTTATCCATGTGGAGGCAGAGAGCTCCTTGCTCATGACATGCTTCTCTGTGCAAGCCTTGTTTTGGAACTGAAACCTTTTATTCTCACAGGCTTCAGATCTGTAATCTTGAGGCTGCTATTAAATGAATAGCCATGTATGTGGTGACCTCCCTCCACCCTATAAGGCTGCAATGCCTTTTATTGGATACTCTTCAAAGCTAGAATTCTGTTCCAGAGGATGAAAATTAGCTTTTTGACATGGAAAGACGACTTACTCTGTGCGTCTTCTAAGTATTCACGAAACTAAGTGGGTGGGTTGTTTGTCTGTTTGAGCCAGCTACAATCCCCATTGTCTATCTAATATTTGGAACAAATAACCCGAACTGTTTCTTTTTGCTTAAAAAGAGCCACAGTACTTCTAGTACTTCTGAACATGTTGTACTTTGAAGGTAGCGGTGTATTTATTTTCTTTGATAAATATCTGGTTTCTAAGATAAATTCTTTTATCTTAGTTTTTTGATAAAATTTCACATGTGAAGCAGTAGGCCATGGGCCAGTTTTCGTTTTCACTGCAAGTACTTTAATTTTTATTTACATTGACAATATCACTGGCTTTATTCTGTCTTGTTCAGCTCTCTAGTTCTACAGCCTTGGAAGGGAGAGGGCAATTAAAATTTACATCAGGGCGATGGAGTCCTCACCACAATTGCACACAGATTGCAACAGCCAACGACACTAATGTTCGAGGATGGGATACACGAACCATGAAGTAAGGAAAAATTGCAGTTTTTTTTTTTTGTTTTAAAGAAAAGGAAGAGGGGAATGTCACTATCCTGTGGAAATGGATTTTCATTGTTCCTGATGTTTTGTTGATAGTTAGAAATGTGGCAAGGCTATTGCTCATAAGGGGAGCATTTGCCCATAAGGATATGGCTTTCGTAGCTGATGTACTCGCAGCTTAGTAGATTTCCTCCATTTTTTTCCCATCAGTTTTAACTCTTAACTTGTATGTCAGGTTTTGTTGAACTGTGTAGTCATCCCAAGGTGATTAGTACAATACCTAAGTATTAGCCGATGAAGCTGTTTTGTAGTTCAACCTGAAAATTGATGTTTAAGATTAGTCCTGACTATGCTACTATGCTACGAAATGTCTGAACAGTGCAATGTTTAAAGGTAACTCTAATCTTTGGGGTAATTTCTCAGTATTTTCTTCACTTTCTGATCTTTAACAAAGGGTATGCAGTGTTAAGGACTGTGACATACTAGTTTCACGTAACTACTGAAGCTATCAAAATCATGGCTGATCAATTAAAGCTTTGTATATACCAAATAAGGTGTCTTCCCCCTGCTTAGTTGTGCCTTTGATAAGCAAAGGAGTGATGTTGTGCACATCTGTTACCATGGCTACTAAAGCCTGTGCAAGCTTTTTTAAGATACCCTTTATCCCCTTAGCACAGAGTAATTTATCACGAAACTGAGAAGACGGATGTCTTGTAATAACTTTTGTTGCCTTAAAGGGGTATGACTTTAAATCTACTTCTGTGGTTCCTGCCAGCATGAGAGTGTGGTAATAAATCCCTGTGCTTGTCAGCCATGTGTATTTCTGCCAAAAAGGTTTAGTTAATTAAACAAAAACTAAAAAAAATACAAATATACTCTTTTAAAAGTTGCTTCTTGTATGCCCGTCACCTGTTTTGATAATGCTGTTTTGGTCTGTAAAAGGATATGTAAAATTCTAATTTCATATATATATATATGTGTGTGCATGTGCCTGTCCAAGACTGTTTCAAATGAAGCATACAAAAAAGTCCTCGGAGGAGAAAGCTTTTTCTCTAAACTTTCTCTTTGTATTGTTTTTATAGTTGTCCTATTTTAGCATGTAGTAATCGGACTTGAAGATTAAGGCTGTGTTTTTAAGTTCAAAATATTAAATACCTGTTTTTTTTCTTTTTCTTTTTTTTTGCATATAATAAGTCTGTTCAATACTCTATCCCCTTTAGGAAAAAAGAAGTATATCATTACTGTGTTAAATGAATCCTCACAGTAACACGTATAAAAGCTGCAAGGTAAACGTGGTTTGGTTAAAAGAAATAACTCCCACCATTTTAATTAAGTGAAGCTCTGATTAGATAGCTCTTGAAATAATGTAGGAGTAGGAGGCTATGCCAAAGAGTTGTTTGCAGCGTTCTTGAAAAATACATGATAAAAATAAGGCTAGTCTGCAATTGCACTGTAACGTGTCTAGAATGATGCAACTGTCTGATAAGGACGAGTTAGGCGAGAGATAGGAGTTTAAAATCATGGCAGAATAAACCACAGCAGAGTAAGCAGAAAAAATGAGAGAAAGCCAAGGTCAAAAAACCTGCTATAACAGAGAATTAAAAAAGGAGAGATACTAGAGAAGTAGCCAGAATAGAAACATGAGGGTGCAGTTATGAAAGCTGTAGGATAAATGAAATATATGGTATTAAATGTAGCAAACAAAGGAAGAAAAGAACAGGAGGTTGTGGTAAAGGCTGCCAGCTTGGGAAGCAATCATTAGTAAATTCAATCAGAAAAGTGCTTCTAAAGCAGGGAGGACAGAAATGACACTGGATGGATTCTGAGAGATAATTATATCGGGGAAATACAGACTTCAATCATTTAAAAAAAATCCAGAGGAAAAAGGACATGAGAAAGTGGAGCAGTATTTATTAAAAAAAAAAAAAAAAAAAAAAAAAAGGGCTGGGATGTGCCCTGACCTTAGTATGTGTCATAAGTGGGAGTTCAGTATAGGAAATATTGCTGTGTGGTCAGATGATAGAATGGAAGGAAAGAGAATATTCCTCTCTGGGAAGGAAAGGGATCAAGTGGTCAGACTAAGCCATTTAAGTTGGGATAGAGGCTTTGAGGGCAGCCGTGGCTGGGTTGGGAGCGCCTGCGGATGGCGTTTCCCTTTGGAGCCTGACACACGGCTCTGAGCAGTGCAACAAGGAGCAAAGGGAAAGGGCTGGGGAGAAATGCTGTCCTGCTGCGAGCGTGCTGGAGACTTTCCAGGTGTGCCCATGAAGACATTTCAAGAAGCCAAAATGAAATGCAAAGTTCAGACCCCAGGATAGCTAAGCAGAAAGGCAGTCCTGGGTGAAATCCTTAGTCTCTCACATTCAGAGAAGAGTCTCGAAGATCAGTATCGAGGCGACATCCTCTACCCCAAGTAACTGCTGCAGTTGCCAGTGTAGTGGTTAGCGTAGGGCACCTGGAGTCACTCCTTATGGGGCTATTTTGCTTTGTAATAGTAAGTAGCTGCTAACAGCAAGAGACTCCTCTCCCAGGTCTTGACTAGCAAATCTGTATATGATCCAAGAAGCCTAAAGTTTTGGTTTCAGCCAACCAAGAAAGAAGAAAAATATTTTTCACTAGTAATACTAAGACTACTCTTACTATTGTTATGTCCTAGTGAAGCCTGTAGGAGAGTGTCAAAGCAAGGCAGAGTTTTGCTAGATACTGACTTTGAAAGCAGACATAGGAGCAAATACAGTCATTTAATAAAGCAGTGGTAAGGCTGTGTACTCATCACAGATGTCTTTCCGTAGTAAACTGGTGATAGCAGAAACAAGGCAGGCAAGTTTAGTAGGATGTAGTAGTGAGTCACTGATGGAACAGCCGTGTTTTGAGCGAGGATGCCGGACTTGTTGGCACTGCACATGTTTCCTGAAGTGGTCTAGAGGGTTGAGTACGAGCATGGCTGAATAGTTTAAGTGCCACAGGTGAATTCATAATAAATGTCAGAGTCTAAGAAGATGGCTTCAAAATAAGGCAATAATAAAAAGCAGGTTTTCAGATCTATAGTCCTGTATCTCAGCTTTTCAGATAGGTAGAGCAATAAGGCAATAATAAAAAGCAGGTTTTTAGATCTATAGATATCAATCTCATACATAGACCTAAGTCTGTTTATAAGTTAGACCTAAGTCTAACTACTTAGGTTTAGAGAAGCTGTTATCAAAAAATATTGCACATTGGATAGAGAGCTGTGCTAGTATCGTCTGGATCTCATGTTTGCTTTTAGCTCCAAATTCCAACAGAAGCAAGTAAAGAGCAAAGCTTGGAAGCAGACCGAGCAATCTATACATGTCTCTGCTGTTAACAGCTGGGATTTCCCCCAACTAAATGCTGGCAATGGGAGCTCTAGGTTTGCTGGTGCTAAAGGGATTATACAAGTTTCCAGGGAAACAGATTCTTGTCAGTTGAGTGCAGTTAGCTTTTTATAGGCCATTTATTTTTTTTTAATGTTTTACAGACAGATATATTGCATAGAAAATGCACATGGGCAGCTGGTACGAGACCTAGACTTTAATCCCAATAAACAGTACTACCTGGCTAGCTGTGGAGATGACTGCAAGGTGAAATTCTGGGACACAAGAAATGTGACGGAACCGGTGAAGTCACTGGAGGACCATTCCCACTGGTAGCACAAATTACCTGCATGCTGTTTTCTGGGGGGATGGCTTATGCAATTTGTTCAGCTAATTATTTTGCTCTTTAGGAACAGTGCAAATTAGCTGCATTTGTGCTATTGTGAACAATAATTTTTCTGCACAGAAGAGTGTTTTAAATGTGTTGATGCTTCTTGTGTGATTGCAAATGAAGATTATAGACACTGTTAGTCTTGTTGACAAGAAAGGGTTGTTAAAAATGCTGGGAGACAGGGCAGGGCCCTGAGCCTGCCTGTAGGGACCAGGTGGGATACATCTCTGCTTGCCCAGCTTGAGCCTCACCTGCTGCACCTAACATAACCCAAAAGCCCTTGAGTTCTTGGTTATGGAACTAAACTGCCCCTGTCTCCCTCCTGTAGAGCACTGGGGTGCTTGACAAGGCAGCCCCTGCTTTCGTCGTGCAACTTGCATCCCCTAGGATCCCCAAATATGCAAGTGAGATGTTTTATTTTCCAAGATGATACTGAGAACCTGTGGCTGATGCGCTGAGATTATCTGTTCTGGCCTTTGCAGTCTTACATGGTTAAGAAAAGAGGAGCAGTTCATATTTTATACAATTTGAGCTGGAGTAATTCTTCCAAAGAAATTGCAAAAAAAAAAAAAAAAAAAAAAAAAATCCGGACCCCGAAGCTAGATTGAATGGTGTGAGGATGTCAGTTAACAGAAGCAGCTCATAAACTTATTTTAATCATCTCAAAAAAAAATAGTAAAGCAAGGACCATGAGACATTTAGTATTAATATGCAAAATATAATATTAAAGAGAAAAATAATCCTACTTTTGTTTTAGAGTATTGTAATTTTTTACTCTGAGGATTATTTTCAGATTTTGTTTAACAGGTTACTTCTAATCCGTATCTTTGCTTTGGGGGGTTTTTTGTATTTAGAACTTAAATATTCATCTGATGTATGAAACAATGAACTGACACATGCCCTCAAGGAATGATAGCACTCAATGGTGGCTTTTGTTTTTGAGTTTTTTTCCTCAAAACTTATTTGTTGATTTTTAAAAATACCCTATAGAAAATCAAATTGCATGAAAGCTTAAAATTCTAACGAAGAGGAAAAAAGCCAGTCTTTGGACTGAGGCATGTCATTTCTATGTGCATTTATCATATTGAACCTGAAGATGAATTTCAGTCATGTTATTCAAAGTCAAGTCGTTTAAGAAGCGTTGCAGCGTGACCTGCCAAGAATCGCCGCCTGGTTTTGTTTTTATTTGTTCCGAATTCCTTTTTCAGGGTCTGGAGTGTCAGATACAATCACTCTCACGACCAGCTGATCCTTACAGGAAGCAGCGATAGCCGAGTTATCCTGTCTAACATGGTATCAATTTCTTCTGAACCATTTGGGCATATGGTGGATGATGATGAACTAAGTGACCCAGAGGACCACCAACAGGAAGAGAAGTATGAAATTTCCTTGGTTTTATTCTAACGTTTATGGTTTGTCATTTCCTCGTAATGATTAACATGCTATTCTTTACCAACTAGGATTTTTGTGTACAGACCTTTCAGGTATGTAGTTCTGATTGCTACTTTATACCTTCTTCTCTACCGATTTGTCTCAACTCTTGGGTATAATCCACTGTTAAAAGCTAACTGGCCCAGTCGTTGTGTCTTGCTTGGCATCAAGGGGATGGGGATGCTGAGGCTGAGTCCTGAACGCGGTTGTATTGGTGAATAGATTCACTCCGAAGGGAATCTGGATCAGGTCACGCACGTACATATTGAATCATCCAGGTTAAATGAGAGCTGGAAATCAGATTTTGTGGTTTCCATATGTTTATCTTTAGAAAACATCATCACTATGGCCATGATCTACAGTCAGACATACAAATTTATTTGCGTAAATTTTTCCTTCGAAATTTCTGCCTACTCAAGAAATCAAGAACTTATTATATCTATTTCAAATAAGACAGAAGTCTGTTTGCAGCTCTCTTGGTAGAGGAGGGTTTAACATCACTGCAGGCATTTATATATAAGCACCTTTCTCTTTGGGTGTGTGAAGATTGCACATTTGCATGTGTATTTTCTTCTTTAATAAAGACTTAACTAAGGTGGCAAAATAATTATTTTTCATCTTCCATTTTCTGTGCTATTTTTAATGGTAAAATGTGATGTTTGTTTTCCTCTCTTTTGTATGAACATATACCTATATACAAGGAGCTGTGTATGAGATAAGGACTCAGGACACCTGCTGTCTTTACAGCTACCTTATATGGTGATATTGAGCAGAGGTGCTCTGTTTTCCTTCACAAAATGACCCTGATGATGCAGAAAGTCTTGTAAAATATTTAGAGGCCACTGGATTTTAATGTGTTCTTCTGTTCTTTGTAGCTGTAAATATATATGTGCTCCATGTCCGATCTGAGCAATTGTTTTGTTAAATTTGCTCGATTATTTTAATACACATAATGTCCAGAATGAAATAGAATATCTCCAGACCTGTTTGTTTTTGTTTTTTTTTTTTGTTGTTTTTTTAATGAAGAAACAAATCAAATGGAATGAGGAATAAAGAGATCACAAAAAGATTTCTCAATTATACAACTCTTTGCTGGATGTTCTAGTTGAAAGCAACATATACTTTATCTAGAGTTTTGTATTTACATTTTTTAGGGTTGCTCTTTCACCTTTATTTTATTAATAAAGATGTAACTTTGCTCCAAATAATTCTGACGCTTTAGCTTCCCATAAGAGATTTAGAAATATATATATTTTTTCTTGCTGAATATTAAAAAAGAAGGTATCCCACATAGGTGGTGTTAATCATAAGTGTACAAAATGTCTGTAATAAGAAGTTGATGCGAGTGCTGGAAGATCACACTAGGTGCTTAGAAAGTTGTGTTATGGAAGTACCTATGTGCTGCTGATGTACCTCAAGCAAAGCCCTGTAAATCTAAAATCCCTTTTGATTCCTTATCCTCAACTGGATTCTGAAGTTTATTCATTTGTGTTACATTTATTATATAAAGAGAGGAGAAAACAAAAAACAAACAAAAAAAAAGAAAGAAAAAAAGAAAAGAGTATGTATCCTATACATATATATGGTGGGAATGTGTTAAAGTAGGTAGCAGGGTCTAGGTAGATAGTGCTCGGACAGATGTTGTGTAGTCAGTTACCAGCTGAGTAGCTGCAGTCAGCTACCAGGCAGCTACCTCTTTCCACTGCCTGTGGACGCGTAGGCTGCGTCACTAACGTGCGAGTGACTGTTCTAGAGTAGCGGTTGTTGAAAGCAGGAACGCTCCAGGCTGTAACACCAGTGGAACCCTCTTTGCCTTTGGCCGTGAGATCCGTGGTGGCCCCGTTGTGAGCGGCGCGCGGTGCTGCCGCGGTGTCACCGCTCCCCAGGGCTGCGCGAGCGCCCTCGCTGCCGCCGGCGCCTCTGAAACCTCTGCTCCTCACCGCTCAGCCGTGCAAGCGTTAGCCTCTCACATGGCTTTGTTTGCGAGGTGCTGCTCTTTTCTTTTCTCTCTTTATGAATTTAACATACGTGTGAGCAGGAGGATGCTTCCAAGGAGCTTGCCAGCCTTGAGCTGCGGGCAGGTGAATGTCTGTTGAGCTTTGAGTGCACTGATGAATCTGGGCATAACAACAAGATACTGTTCTTAAACCCTTCTTGTTAGTTAACTACTAGTGCAAAATATTTAAACTTTAGTAGCAGTTTCCCTCCTAGAAACCTCATTGAAAAGTCTGTTCCATCATTCCACGGGTACAGCGTGCTCTGTGTAACATGAGGTTTTTGCTTGTATGCATTTTAGACCTATTCAATTCCTATTCAATACCTATTGAATAGCATCTTGAGAAATTAAAAAAAAAAAAAATCAAGATCCTACTTGAACAGGAAGAAGAGGAGGAAGAGTCTATGCAACTGTTTTATTGAAACAGTCATTCTCAGACTGAGTGACCAAATTTTTTTCACAAGGAGGTTGTTCTTGCCTAATATTTTTCCCATTTTCAAATTCAGATATTCCTACTCAACAGTATGAACAAAATTCTCTGTATGATAAGGAAAATTTTGTTCTTCTTTAATGTTATTTTTTTCATTTTTTTCTCAGCCAAAATCCTGTATTGACTACTGACTTGTAGTACTATTCTGAAGTGCCAAGGCTTTTGAGCTCTTGAGCCTTTTGTTAATTTTTAGTATACTTCTGAATAGATTTTCTTTTTTTAATGCACTTATTTCCAGACAAGAAATACATTGACATTTCTGTTTAAACCCGAATCGCTACAATGTAGAATTATGCAAATGATCTACTCACACATTTATTCTTGCCAAATTTTCTGTAATAAATGCCTGCATCTTAAGGTTCACAATTTGAAGAGTAATTATTTAGAGGGTTTTTTTAGTATATTTCTTGAGCAGTGAAGAGTGGTGTTTTCTCTTTTCAGTACGAAATTATTATTTACTGGAGTCTCTGCCTTGCCTACTTGTCCGTATATGTGTTGATGCCTTGGGGATATATGTTTTTGTTCTGGAGACGAGAACATATTTGCCTAAGCGCTATAGCTAAGATGTTGGACAATGATCCATCCCTTGTCATAGTTCTCAGATCAGAGCAGCTTATTTGCTTTCTCTTTCCTGCTGCTTTTTTTGTTGTTGTTTTTTGCCTCAGTTAAGAATGTAAGAGCAACTATGCTACATCATGGCCAAGGTCTCCATAGCCCATATCATGCCTCCCCTCGTGGTCAAGAAGAAAGGTTATAAAAACGTGAAAAGGAGATGAGGCATCCTCTGGGTACTCTTCCAGCCTCTGTTTGCAACTCAGAAGATCCTCAGCACTTTCTGAATCCTCCTTGGAGTCTTATGATTCTTCCTTTTGGGATATTCTGTTTTCACTAGCCATGTTCATCTCTTTTTCACTGTCTGTGTTCTCAGCTGTCCCAGAACATGCTGCCTGAGCATATATGGCCTTTGTGGAAAGCATCTAGGAGAAATATGGCCCTGTATTGTGTTCTTGCACTAAATAAGGAAAGGTTTCATCCCTTTCTTTTGGAGAAGCCTAAAGCCTATATAGACAAAAAGAAATAAAACCCATTAGGAAATAGATTTATCAGCATTTTTCTTGAAGCCCTGTGGTTTTAGAGATACTTCTGTCTTTCTCACAACAGACATTAGCTATGCTGTCCTTTTACATGAGCAAGGCAAGATCTAACATCTAAGGATTTCTCCCATTTTTGCCTTTTAAAGGATGTAGAAGACTGGTCATCTCAGTACGGGGTGTTTTGTTGAGGTAGTGCAGAAACATCTTCAGCAATTGGGATGCACCATAGCAAAAATGGTGCCTGGCTTCTCTGTAGAAAGAGCTTTCATTCCAAAATCCATCTAAAGGAGATGGTGCTTAATACTTCTTTAGACGTGTGATTTAGGGGCCATGTGAATAGGATGTTATGTTTTCTTTGTAATCTGTATGAACTGTGTGGTCTAACAACTCGTGTATGCACGGCCGTGACTTGAGGAGAGCAGACTTTGCCAGCCCTAATACACTGAGAAGTATTTGCCAAACAGCCTTGGTAAGGCAGCCTTCTGGGGTATTTTCACACAGCTGCTAATGGTGTGAGTTTTGATGATACTCTATTGTGGTATTTATGTCTCAGAAATCTAGAAAACACAGGATTACACTGTGGAATTGCCCGGCAGACTCAGTTAATTAAAACAGCTTAAATTGTGTTGGATAATATCAGTGTTTTGGGTTTTACTAGTTGGATGTCGTAGAAGCTCAGCCAAATCCAGGGAAGCAGCAGTCTTCAATTCCTAGGGTATTTTGGCTCTAAAGACTCTGTAGGTTTCCCCTAGTGTGTGTGCGTGTGTGTGTATATATATATATATGTGTGTGTGTGCGTGTATAGGACAACTTTGAGAACCTACTATATTAAAACATATATCTCCCAGGATAAGTTATGCAGAAGGCTAGTTTTTTTTATTGTTATTTTTTGGAGGGAGGAGAAAAATATTAATTAGTTGTATGAATGACTAATTGTTGGGTGTAGAAGTTGTGTTCCAGTATAAAGAATTCTGTCTTCCTTAATAGAGGAGAAGAAATAGTGTTACCTGAGCTTATCAGCAGTGAGGCCTTAAAATTGATAAGTTCTGTCCTTCAGTGAAAGGGAAAGGGCATCCACAGAGCTTGTTTCAGAATCTGATTTTATGCTATTTGGTCTTTAGGTTTTATTTTGAACGCTGCAATATGTGTTCCTGTCTACTGAATCAGATGTGTGTTATAGTAGGTTTTAGGGGAAGGAGGATTTAAAATTGAATGTGGCAAAGAATTAATGATTTTTTTGGGAATGATTCTGAAAAAACGTATTTTATTCAACATGGTGATGACAAGACAGAATTGCAAGCGCTGCAGACTTAAGTGGTTGTTAGCATGAGCGGTAATTGGAAATAACAGCTCTCTGCATTAAAACAATTATCCAAGGCTTAACAGGCTTCTCTCTCAAGTCTGTAACACAATTAACCTCAAAGTTACCTGGCAAAATGAAAGCTCTTCTCTTTTCACTGGAGAAGCCGGTAGGGAGAGAAACAGTCCGGTTTGAGTTCTGACACAGGTCTTCACGTTTATGGAGGTTGTAGATAGAGATTGCACATCCAGAGTAAGAAATACTGTGAGTACTTGTGCATCTGAGAGGCTCATGCCCTGTCAATTAATGCTATACAAGAACCCATGTAAAGAGAGAGAATGGCAGTTAAGTCTGTCCAGAAAAGAATTCCTTTAATATGGAAGAATAGGAACCTAAAGAAACTTTTAGGGACAGGTAAGTTCAGAACTAGGAAAAACTAGTTTACCGAGCTTGCCAGTGATTAGCAAGTAATTAGCAAGTTTATCATCAAAATACTGTATAACCAGACTGCTGTATCAGAGCCAATAAGGCAGCAACTACACCTATGGTACACTACGTTAATCAAAGCATAGCAACTACATTTTTACATCTATATCCCATCAATTATATGTACAAACAAATATCTGTGTTTTGGCAGTAGCCCGAGTTACAGATATTGAAGTAGAATAGAAGAATGTTTATGCGCATCCTCTGGTACCCTTCCTGTTTCAGAACTTACCTAAGTGAAACAATTTATGATTCTGAACTCCCTTCCTTTTCCTAAAATCTGCCTAAGATCTGTCTATCCCAGCATCCCATCTACTCTGAATCCATTGAGAGTAAATACTTAAAATTTCAGTCCAGGGACATAAAAGCTGAACAGCTGTAAAAATCCTCCAAGGAACCTTGTTCCTTCCGATTTAAAAAAAAAAAAAAAAAAATCTTCCAAATACAGAAATTAAATTATGTTTTTCTTATTGGGTTACTGATTATGTAATTTAATGGCAAATTTATTTCCATTTAGCATGTTTGTAGAGGATGCTCATGGACAAAAGACCATCTTTTGGATCTTCTGTATTGTTCCTGAGCCTTTAGCATAAAGTATTTTATCAGGCTCACAATAAGTGTCTCTTATGCACAAATAGTTTATAAAAGTGTTCTCACAGATACGGACCTAACTCAAGCAGCCTGAAGAACTGCACAGAAGAAGGCACAAAATTACTTTCATCTCCAAGGAGAAATTGAGTGTATAGACAATAACAAGTGAGGGTTAAAAATTCTAGTAGTAAACAGAAATGCCAAACAGTAGCTCATCTACTAATGCAAGCTTCTTTCCTGAGCACTCATTCCCCTATGACTTTCATGAATTAAATTAGATGAACTGTATTATTGAAATGAAACACTAGAGCAACTTCGAGCATACAGAAAGTAGCATAATCTAGAAGCTCATCTGTCCTTGTTTATCCACCCTCTGGCTAACGGAGCCTCCTGGTTAGGTGGAAGTCGGTCGCATCCCCTGGCGCCCATGAGCGCCGCACGTTGCTCCCGCTTATCCAGGGAGACGTTTGCAGCCTTCGGAATGATGGAGTTCCGGCTAAGTGGGTGAGCGCTGCGTGGAGCGAGTGCTGCCGGGGGACCTGACCAACTTTCACTTACCCGGGCATGGCAGTTAACAGGGAGCTGGAAAAACACCTTGCAGGAGACTAAGCGTGTGTGTGTTTATAGCTCTCTGGTGGTTTGTACCCGAGTACGTATTTGCAAGGACTGCAAAATAATCCTGTGATTATCTAGAGGCTGTTGTTTGTGCTATGACCTCTTTTTGTTAGCTGACCTGAAACAGCACAGGTAGGTGATCATAGTCCTTGAAACTGGAACTTGGAGGCTATTCTGCAGTATTAGACTGCTTCAGGTTTATTCATTAAGCTCCACTTCAGTTTAACTGTGATGTTAGATTCACAGTGGCTTAGCCTGGCTAGCTGCAAGCCGTTCATATTTAACACTACGTGCTGTAATTGCAGCACTGCACACGTCCATCCTGTGGCCAGCAGCAAAGTGCAGAGGCTGCCGGGGGCACCTCACTTCCATTGCAGCAAAACCCTCTGGAGTGAGCGGGAGGCTGGGACCAGGCTCGGGAGGCTGCTGCTGCAGAGCAGGCCCTATCCAGCAGAGCAGGGGCTGCTTCGCGTTTAGAGAACAGCCTGCAATTCGGAGAGAAAAGCTATTAGGAAAAAAGTGTGCCTTTAAGTCCATTTAAATCAGCCCCTGTACTTTAAGTTGCTTTAGAGGGAGATGTGTTTAGCATATTGCTTCTGCCGGACCCAAAACTGTACTGAAACTGAGAATCTTCTAAACCTGGTTGGACGCAGCGCCGTGCCACGTGTTCCAGGTGACCCTGTGTGTGCAGGGGACTTGGACTAGATGATCTCTAGAGGTCTCTTACAAACTTAAGTTTTCTATGACTCTATGATAACAGATAACTTGTCACAGCAAATGAAGTCTTTAACTTGGACCTGACTTGGCCATGTTCTGTAAAACGTAGGTGTGTTCCCATGTCAGCCTCTGAATGAGGCTTCCTTGGAGCCCAACATTGCAGTCTTATACTTCAAATAGTAGCTTGTGTATCTATATATGTTTATGATGCTTAGCCTTTTCAATCAGATGTGTTGACAATCCTTACTTTTTTTTTTCTTTTTAATTTTAGGAGTAAAGAGCCCCTTCAGGACAGTGTAATAGCTACCTATGAAGAACATGAAGATAGTGTATACGCAGTTGAATGGTCATCAGCAGACCCATGGCTGTTTGCCTCTCTAAGTTATGATGGGAGACTTGTCATTAATAGGGTTCCCAGAGCTCTTAAATATCACATCTTGTTATAATTTGTTTTGATTACTGGTGAAATTATTATCTTGATGTACAGAATTGGTAGGTATTGTTTTGGGCTTTTTTTAAGTTTTTGTTGTTGTTGTTAAGTATAAATGTTAAGGAGTGTATCTGTACTAATACAGAAACTTATGTTTCAGGTTTTGACTTTTGTATTTTTTTCTTGGAAAATATGATCAATTTTCTTAAGGCTGTGCTAGTTGTTTTTTTTTTTATAAACACTTTGCAATTGTGGGTTATGGTGTTTCTCAATATATTGGGCACTTTACCATTGATTTATTACTTCAGGTTTACTCTAACATAGTGAATTATAGAGATGTTATCATTATGCCAATGTAAAGCTGGGAGAAGGTAGGGTGCATGTAGCTGAAGTGATCTACCCATTTGCAAAAATAATCTTCTATCTTCCTTCTTTTCCATACAAGCAGCCTTCTGTTCTTAGCTAGGGCCACATTTTATTAACTATTTTGGCACACTCTGTAATGGCTATAAATACAGTTGGGAATGGTCTTAAAGGCTTCCTTAATTTACTTCAGTTCTTTTATACATTTTTTTCTCCTGGTTTGTCTAACAAAAATGTCCATTATGAAGGAAAAATGTCCATTCTAAATATACTTTTCATTTAAGCCTTATAGGAGTAGCAACAACATACCCTCCTGTAATTCACAAATTAAATGCCTTTTTGTGCTGTATGTTGTTATTGGAAACTATTTATCTTCTCAAAATCTCTGATACACTCTCCTGTAATATATTGAAGCATATTCGTAAAACTTGGTTGTCTTGTGGTATATTTTGAGCGCCCCTGGTGCTACACCATTGTTAACCTGAAAGTCTCTTTAGCAGCTGTAAGCAGTCTTGGCCTTGTCTGGGTTGGCTCTGTGCCCCTCTGCAGCTGCTGACGTGATGCAGTGCGTTTTCAGCTATGCACAACCCATGTTTTGCTCTAGCCTTCTCTTTGCTGTGCCTGGCCTAGGCATCAGTGGCTGTTCTGTGGAAGAGCTTCCCTGCTGTGAGGGTGACAGAGCCCTGGCACAGGCTGCCCAGAGAGGTTGTGGAGTCTCCTTCTCTGGAGATCTTCCAAACCCGCCTGGATGCCACCCTGTGCCACGTGCTCTGGGTGTCCCTGCTGGAGCAGGGGGGTTGGACTAGATGATCTCTAGAGGTCCCTTCCAACCTCAACCATCCTGTGATTCTGTGAAATACTGGGGATAGATTGCCTTGCAGAGAACATACAGAAAACTTGAAATGCAGATGGAAGGCACTTAATACATTTGCACTTTATTTTGCTGTTATTCTAACAGTCCTGCTGCTCCCTGTGTGCTGAGACCAGGCACAGCTGTAGCTATGCCCAGCTGCCCTTTCATCAGTTTTATTTCCAGTTAACCTCAGAAGTTGGGTACACAAAACCGTTTCAGTTATGGCTGTGTTATATGAGACCCCTCATATACCAAGAACATGAGCTGGAAGGAATCCTAACATCTTGCTAGGAGTCCTGCTGTTGCTGTAGTGCCTGGGTTGGTGCTGCTGTGGAGGGACAGCTTGCTCCTAACCTGTGTTTGTCCTTACCACAATGTGGTTCGAAATGTGTCTGAATGTGACTTGTTACGTATACGCAGCTGCTTCTATGGGAACACACCTTGAGAGCCTAACTGACTGCTGCAGGCCAAAATGTCCAGAAAAGATGAAAGCTTAATTTTGGCTTATTAAAGAGCTTATTTGGAAGAAATTGTAGAAGTGAAATAATTCAATTAAGGCACGTGTGTTATTGCCTGTATTTGTGTTAGAGGCCTGTGTGCACCAGAGGGAATGCTTCTGTTGGGAAAGCTGATGGTCTGATTTTTCTGCGTTAAGATTTTAAATTTTGCTGTTTCAAATTTTCTCAGTTTGCAACTCTTCATGAGCTATTCACCTGCATATTACAAGAAAAATCACATTTCCAAATCAGTAGTGCTTCAGGTGTCTGAATTTGATTGGGATGTTGTTTTGCAAGTGGAGCTTTCAATCTTTAGACAAAATCTTGCATTTCTCCCCCCCACACACACAAAAAAAATTACAGTGTATCATTAGTATGCAGCAGAATACTTTAAAAATTTGTTCACATTAGCAATAAAGGTCTAATGAAATTTTATTGTCTCTTAATGTATATGGGTTACAGTGGGCAGGTGATATGAAATTATGTAATGTATGTGGTGCTTGGTTTTATATGTAATAAAATGTGGGACAGATTTTGGGCTGATCTTGAGGTACCGTATTTCCTTTAATATTAGAGCTTTTCCGATGGTAGGAAGTTGTATCTGTAAAGAAATAATAACAACCTATTTTTATGTTATTTTTGTATTGTCTGCCTTTGGTAACTGTTTATAATATCACATTATAAGGGGAAAAGATAAGGGATGAACTATAGGAAGGAAGGGAGTAGCAGGTCAAGTTTAAATGAAATGCATTACAGTAGAAGCAAGAGAGCAGACAGGGTCAAATTTTAATCATTTTTAGCTATCTCTAAAGCTGAATCTGAGTTACATGTTCAGCACTCATAGCAATATGAAAATGACTTTCATATGGGGAAAGCTTTTGACAAGGTTTCACCTCAAGCTGTTAGAGAAAGCAAACTCCTGCAGGATAAGAGGAAAGGTCCTCAGATGGATAAATAGTCAGTTAAAAGATAAGAAATAGGAGGCAGGAATAAATCATCACATTTCACAACAGAAAGAAATTACCAGAGAAGTTCTGCAAGGATCTGTACTCAAGCCTGTGCTTTATATTATATTTGTGACCTTTTTGGAAAAGGGCTGCATATAAAAATGGCCAAGCTTGCAAATGCTGTTCAAAGTAGTGAAGATGACTGACTGGAGGATTATGGAAGGGTGCTTCACAACACTGATAAAATGATAGATGAAATCCAGTACAGGAAAAGTGACATGATGGATTTTACATATACTTCGGTCAATGGCAGTTAACTTGCTGCTTGGAAGTGAGATCTGGAGATTATAATAGCTCTTTAAAAGCATAAGCTTAACAGAGGTTTAAAAAACAAAATGTACGGGTTTCCTAGAAGGCAACTAGAGAAGAAAACAGTCCTGTTAATCTATTTGCTAAATCCATCGTGTGCATACATCCTGAATACTCTGCTTAGTTCTCATTTCTTTCATCTTAAAACTGAGGTAGTAAAACTGGGAAAGGTTTTAGAGAAGGGAGGCAGAAATGATGAATAGTATGCAGCACCTGTGTGAGGATAACTAAATAGACTGAAAGGCAGATGGGTGAGAGGCAATGATAAAAGTCTATAAAAGCATTCCCTATTCATCCTTTCCCCCTGCCACTTGTGATCATTCACTGTTGCTTCTGATACAAGGACTAGATGTTATTAAATGGCATCACCAGGCGGTGGCTCAAAACCGATGAAATGACGTGATCTTTAGAGCCACACAACTGAGCTGTGACATTCCTTTGTAACACCCCACCTCCTCCTGCATGCGCACGCAACATGGAAAAGAACGTTATAATGCTAACGGACTTGAGCGAAATGAGCAAATTCCTGAAAGATTCCACCACGGGCTGCTCGGCCCCAAGGCAGCAGCCCCTCTGTCTCGGGATGTCCTTTGCAGCTGCGCCGCGCCGCGCTCTGGGAGGGTGCGGGGAAGGACGTCTGCGTGCCGGCCCGTCTGCGCCTGCCTCCCGGACCCACGCGCTGCGCCCGCACAGGAAGCGAGGCCAAGCTAAGAACGTGTTCTCCAGAGCATTGGCTCTAGTGCTCAGATGTCAGATTTCCTCCTGCACTTTCGTCTCTCACAGCTCTTTACTTTGGTTATAAGTTGTGTTTTAAGGGATTTTAGAAAACCCTCATGTCTCAGATGAAATTCTTGTGAAATCCCACTATTACTTGTGGAAGCTCTCTGCTTTGTTGCAAAAGCCTCCTTGACAGTGAGACTATGGACACAGTCTGATTTCTCTACAGTATGTGGAGTCCGCCACCTTTCCTGAAATTCAAATCCTGTTCTGAGCCATCTTAAAGCACTGGTTCGCTACAGTGTTTCACAGACTGCTCTTTTATGCTGCCACATATCACCAGTGGTAGGTGCACAGTTGTGTTTTCCAAACAAACAGTTCTTCAAAATGATTTTTCTTTCTTTTCAGGCTATAAGCAGGTAAGAAGCTATAATAGTTTTTTGGGTTTGCAAAAGTGAATTCTGGCATTCCATAAAGCTATTGAATTGTCAATGTTAACAGCCTAAAAACTACTTTTCTTACAGATTCAGTGTTGATAGTCTCTACTTTGTCCCCTATGCAATTTTATTCTTTTTTTGTGGAACAACTAAAATGCCTGAGATTTGGTTCTTTTATTTCTCAGACATGAATTACTGAAGGAGAAAGGAACTGATAATACTTTTTTTTTTTTTTTTTTAAAGAAAGTTGATCTAAGGCTCATTGATGTCAATAGAAGCCTTGACTGTTTAAAGAGTAGTTCGGAACAACATTTCACTCCTAAGTAAAAAATGATGCTATCTAAATTCAAAAATGTCTTTAGTACAGACCTGGACTTTGCCAGTGTTGCCAGTGCTAAAATTAGTTGACGTGCACTGAAGCTCATAAAGTTAATGAATTACTTGTGAGCATCAGAATTAATGAAAAAGTAAGTATTGGATGGCATGGGTAGGCTTGACATTTGCCCTAGACCATTCCCCTTTCTTCTGGCTCTTTTCTTACTCTGGGGTGTGTACACACTTAGTACGTTGTTTTATAAAGAATAAGCTACCTGAAAGTGTATTTTTAAACTTAAAATATAAACTCTTTATTTTTCTATTCACTTGGAATTCCCAAATCTTACAGCCTGGAACCTCTTCCAGTATTTCAGACTGAAATTCTGATATCTTGCAAGTTATTGAGGATGGCTTCAAGCAGCCTAGTCCAAGTCATGGTGGGACACCGTAACGCAGACACGCTTGTGTCTGGCAGCGGGGAAGCTGTGAAAAGCAGGTAATGGTAACCGTGAAGATCAATAATTGGGCACAAGTTCATAATGATGATGCAAGTTCACTTAAACCTTTAGCATTACTATGTGTAACCACTTTTTGGTTTTATAGAGAATATTGAGGTTTCACTTTGGTGGGGTTATGAAGAAAGCAGTTGAAACTTTGGTGTAGAACCTGCAGTCTGAGTG